CCTTTTCGGTATTTGATCTCGAAGTCATACTGTTGCAACTCGAACGCCCATCGTCCCAACCGGCCGGACGGAGATTCTAGCGCTTATCTAGCGCTTTATATATAATTTTATCCGGAGACATCCCGAACATGTCAAAAAGATTAAACAATTCTGTGAAGAAATTGAAAATAAAACAGATTTGATTGATAGAGATTGCATTAAGTACGACTTCAAAAAATGGAGGTTTTATATTCGGCATGTATGTATGTATGTATGTATGTCTACGATTTTCTTTAAAACTACTGGACGGATTTAAATGCGGTTTTCACTGTCCTATAGAGCAATTCTCTAGGAAGGTTTTAGTACATAAAATATCGCGCTAGAACATCAGGGTACGGAGCAGTAAGGAAATATGCGATAATAATTATTCATATTAATTTAATAAAGCACTAAAAAAGTATAAAATAAAAAAAATTTTTTTAAAATAAAACCGATTTAAAAAAAAAAACTAAAAAGTATTTAAAAAATTAAAAAATCATTTATGCGCTTTATGAAAAATTGTTAATTAAATAATTTTGATTTCATACACTAAATGTATAATAATCGTACATTATTTATGTCAAGTTTCAAGTCATTTCATTGAAAAATGTAGAAGTTATAAGCAAATGACCGAAAAATGAGGCGTTCGCCCCACTGTGCGCCGCCAGCATACGCACCACCGCCGCCGCCACCAACATACAATATATACACGCCACCGCCTGTGCCACCAGTGCACATGCCCCCGATTGCGTACACGCCGCCGGTATACACACATCCGGGATACACGCACCCGGGATACACGCACCCGGGATACACGCACCCGAGATACACGCACCCGGGATACACGCATCCGGCATACACGCACCCGGGATACACGCACCCGGGATACACCCTGCCGGGATACACACCACCGGGATACACGCCACCGGGATATATGAACACGACAGGAAATATACCGACATTCGTGCCAGGAGTATGCCCCTATACGTTGTAATTCTTGATCTTTAGTTTCA